GCTGTGTAGGGAATTTCTAAGTTGTTTTAATCGATTGAAACGAGATTTAATCGATTGTAAAAGTTCTGATCGGTCATAACTCAATTCTGATCGATCATCCTGAACTCTTAAGTGGTTTTAATCGATTAAAATCAAGTTGTATCGATTAAAATACTGTAAAAACATTTCACTTAACATTTTAAGTAATTTTAATTGGTTATATCAAAGTCTGTATCGGTTATAAAAAATGTTTAAGAAAGCTTTTGTCAAAATACTTTGTTTTTTATTGTTTAAAAGATTTTTAGAGGCATTTTGCAAAATCTTTTAAGTGAAGAAACCCCATGCAGCAGAAAAGATAAAATGATTATACCTAAGCATAGCTGCGGATACACTAATCTTTCTACACTTTTATCTTAGTAACTTTTGTCCTCTGCAAAGTTGCTTTTGACTTCATCTTCGACTTCATCAAATCAATGAGATCTTTGTCAATGTATTTCAATAAGATCTTCATCACTTTCAACATTAACTATTTTTTTGAATATTATGTTTTTAAATTTGCTATTAGAGAAAACCTTTCAGAATTCAAAATGTTAAATACTTTTAAATATTAACTAGTTTCTCTGAATTCAATAAGATCTTCATCACTTTCAACATTAACTAGTTTCTCTGTTTTAAATAATTAAAAATAAAAATCAAAACTAGTATTATCTTCAATTTATTAAAAGTGTAATTAAATCTCTATTTTCTTAATTTTTTTTGTTTCAAACTTCTCAATTCTACATTTTTGTAACTTCTATCATTATATATTATCATCCTCATCTCCTCCCATGTTCAACTTTATGTTTACAATAGTTAATATTCTTAAATAATGTATATTTTTAATTATAATTTTTGAATATATATTTCAGAAATTAATCAATTCTAATATATTATGTGAAAAACTAATCAATTCTAATCAATAATTTAGAAAACTAATCGATTATCATTAATTCTTTGAAAAAATTATCAAATATGATCGATCATTTTGAAATTCTGATCGATCAGAAAGTCAAAATATTGTTGTATGTGATAGCGGTTCCACTGGAACCGCTATTACAAATTACTTCTAATAGCGGTTAAACCTTAACCGCTATCTAATATACACTTTAGATAGCGGTTAAGGTGGAACCGCTATTATATCCACTGAATTATGATCGATCATTTCGAATTATGATTGTTCATAATTAAACTTATTATGTTCGCTCGAGCGATATTATGTTCGCTTGAGCGAATGTTGACCTGCGTCAATGTAACATGGGTGATTCATGTTTGAATCGGATTTCGCTCGAGCGAGAGTAGTTTCGCTCAAGCGAAATACAACCCGAGAATGCCACTTCTGTGCAGGTGGTGTCGCTCGAGCGATGTTTTTTTCGCTTGAGCGATTTTGCAAAAATCAGCTGTAAGCATTGATTATTTTCTCATTAGCGACCAATTTTAATTCGGTCGCTATTTCAATTTGTAATTCGGTCGCTAAATCAGTCGCTAAATGAATCTCTTATTTATGTATGAAATAGCCACCGATTTAGCGACCGAAAATTTGCGACGCACAAAAATTGGTTGCTATTTCGGTCGCTAAATATAAAATGAAAACCAAATCATACTTTGGTCGCTAAATCAGTCGCTAATTGCAACCGAATTAAGGTGGTCGCTGAATCGGTCTTTAAATGTGACTAAAATTAAATCGGTCGCTAAATCGGTCGCTAATTGCGACCGAAAAAATTCGGTCACTAATTTCGGTGGCTAAATCCGTTTTTTCTTGTAGTGGTTTAACCTGTGGTGGTTGTTCATCGTCCAATATGATTTCATAGTTCCTCGGCAAGTAGCTATTAAATTCCAGAAGTAGATCTCTATGTCCTGTAAATATCTCGGTCACTCTTTCTCTAAGAGCCCATATACCAATTCTATAAACGAATACAAGAGAACACAATTCAATTTCTGAACGCTTTCAAAGTGGAATGTGAAACGACTGTGATCCAACCTTTGGTTCCTGTAATCGGTCATCACACATAAAAAGTTCTCGTACTTTTCTTTCTCGTCTGAAAATCTTTGCCTTATTGTACTCAGAAATTTTAAAGAATCTTCCATCGTAGGTCTCTGTTCACTGCTACCTAGCTTCACAAAACTTCATATATAAATTTACCGATCAATGAAGAAAATGATGAGATACAATCATACACCTATGACCAAATTAGAAGGAATCAAATACACATGATCTACATATAGGAGGAGGAGCAACCCATTTTAACGGTGTAATAGGGGCAAATTATAGCAGTATAATATGAAAAGGAAAAAGAAACACTGCAATGATATACAGTGTATAAAGCCAAAATCATTTAAAGAAAAAGTCACCGTCGCCAAGATTGAAATGTCAGTCATCAACACCAAGATAGATTCATGGAAAAGAAACATAGCAAGAAAGAATCAAGAACAAGATTTATATATTTTACCTGTGAGCAAAACAAATTTTTCAGAAGTATTGTGAATGAAATCCTCAAAGTACACTGTAATTTGGGACAATTAATTGACTTATGAAGTAAAATGGTTGAAAAATAACTACCTAATTAATAATCTAAAGAATGAAATAATGTCAGGTCTTGTTCCATCGATAATCTTCTGATACTTCCTTTAATATAGGATGTTTGAATGGTTGATGCCTTTTAAATATTAACTCAACACCGATGAAATTAAGAGATGGCTAGGGTTTGAGAGATTATGACTAATTATGAAATATGTATTGATTTTCTTTGATCTTAATTTGTTGTAAAGGGAATTATCATTATATTCAATATAATACTATACATATATAATATTAATAATTATCTGATACAAGAAGAATACCACTGTAATAATGTTATTAATTAAAAAAAGTCAATTATTATATATTGATTAATTTTAGATTTTGTTGAATGTATTTTTTGCTCTATCAAAAAATTTAATTGCTAATATTTTAATTAGCTACTGTGAGTATATTTTATTCTTTAAAATACATATCCGTTTGAAGAGTCATGAGATGAAAATAGTCTTTTGTGTTTGGATTACGAATAAATCAGGGTTTCCGTAGACTGAGGAGGAGCACAGGCTGTTACTGTAGGGATTACAGAACGTTGGGGAAGGAGATTGAAGAGGAATATTAAAAAAAAAATGATATTAACAAGTCAAACTTTTAAATAGTTGTAATAAGTCATTTCTTTTTTTCATTTCAAGAGGACTAAAATAACAAGTGTGAAGTATTTAAATATTACTAAATCATCAAATAGGTACGTATTTAATTTAATTTTATACTTATAATTAATTATAGATCTTAATTTATATTTAACTACAATTATTTTAAATAATTTCTTTAAAGCAACGTGAATCGACAACAATATTATTTTAAATAAATTCAAATTATTGGTTTTATAAATATTACTTGAATAATATAAATTATTCAAAAGCATGAGTAATCAAATAAAATAAAACGACTCCATAAGATCCCGCTAATATCATATAACTGACACAGTAAAATAGGCCTTTTTTTTTAATATATCTTTTTTAGTGCATCAACATAAAAGTGTTTTAATCAACGTCCTTAACATTGTTTGGTCTATTTACCACAAAACCTTAGATTTTTCTTTAACTCACATTTTGTTTTTCTGTTCTTTTGGACCACTTGTTACCTATCCCTAATATTTTTTTTTTAATTATAAGTGTGCATAAAACCAAATTGAAAATAGATATATGAACTTTTACACTAATATGAATATATGAAAATGAAAACTACTTGTAATATATCCAAAAAAAATAGTTCACTTTTCAAGTTGTTACTAGAGTATGAATCATATTATTTGTTGGAACATTTAATAAAGCATTATGTTTTAAATCAAACTTATTATTATGTATTTAAATTCATCTATTAAATTGATTACTGTGCATTCATCCTTATAATGAATTTTAAAACGAATTATCATATTTAAATGAAATAAAAGTATTAAAATTTACAAATTTTTATAATTTTGATAAAGTTATATATCAAAATTATAATTTGTATTTATATATATATATATATATATATATATATATATATATATATATATTGGTTATTAATGTCATATATATTAAAACTATATGTGTCTTACCTAATAATAAAGAATTATATTTGTATATATGGATAAAAGCTTAATAACAATCAATAGTTTGTTAGATTTAATATTTTTTTTAACAATTAATACATTGCCTAAGAGTAATTGAAACATGAGATGTAAATTACTCATTATTTGAATGTGAATATGCATGTATCATTTTCTTTTTATTCATCAAACGCAGTTAACTCCACTTCAAATAAATTACAACAAACCTCTTAATACTTGTTATAATTATAATTAGAAAATAAATTCGTGAAGCATAAAAAAGGAAATAAAAAAAAGATTATTACTTTGAATGTTGTATTTTCTGTTAATATTATGTTTATGTGGATGGATGGGAGAAGATTTGTGTTGTGTTGAATTATTCTTTGAGAAGGCAAATTTGAGGGAGAAAGATGATGAATGGTCTTCAGTGAAGTGATGAGATAAGGTGATTGTTAGTATCCAATTTCGTCTGGTTGATTAAAATTATAATAATAATAATAATAAATAGTAATATTTATTTTGAGAATATGAAAAAAATATTAAAATGTGAAAAAATATTAAATAAAATACAATAACAAAGAAAGCAAGAGAAAATGAAAATAGGATTAAAAAATAATTTTCTTTTATTAGCATTTACATTTTGAAGAAAAAAATAAAAAGAAAATAAAAAATATATAATTTGTTTTCCATAGAAATTAAAAAAAAATGATGAAACGAAAAATATAAAAAAAAAAGCGTAAAACAAAAGAAAAAAATGTTCGTTTTGGGCCTAACCCAATGTGAAGCTTTGGTGCCACTCTTAACCCAATTGGAGAATTAAGAACGCAGTCTCTACTCTGGGACAAAGACAGCTGCCACTCCCTCTTACATTCTCAATCACACGCCTCCACCAATACTCTCCCATGCCTCCTCCCCCACAACCCCGAAGCTTGAGAGAATCCTTTTTCCTCCCAAGCCGCGCACCACTTGCAGCCTTTTTCTCCCCTCCCATTCACGGTCATCACTGTAATCCCTTTCTGTGCATCCCACACAGGGGCTCCGAACTTCCTCATCCTAATTTCATACAAGTAGGTATCTACATTTCCCCTTCACAAAAAAAAAAAAAAAAAAAAAAACTCCCCGCATCCCATTCCTTCTTCCAGCCTTCGACCCCGCACATCACACACAAAATTTTTGGCCTTCACTGCTTCGCACACTCACACACACGGTGTCCACTCTGCACGTTCCACACCTCACTCTCCCCTCACCCTGCTGCGCACCGTGGAAATCATCTCTCCCTTTAACCTCCCCCAAATCACCAACGTTTGTAAAATGTTGGATTCTTGTTTGTATATATATATATATATATATATATATATATATATATATATATATATATATATATATATATATATATATATATATATATATGATATATGATTTAAATGTGATACAAATATTATTTATTAAGCTAAATAATAAATTGATCTAACTAAATTAAAATTTTCACTGAAAACATATGTCATCAAAATAAAATTGTTTAGAGAATATAGAGTAATTTTTAATTTGACGAGGGTCAAATTGAAAATACTAAAACTTAAGTAATTAACTTAATTTTGGTTATTTAAAGGGTTATGGTCCCTTTTTGGAAGCATACACACAGAACGTAAGTTTTCAGTCTCATTTTTTTCTTTCTATCACCATCAAGAGAGAAAATCCAGAGAGAAACTACGGTGTTCTCCAGTTGGAAGACCATAAGATCAATAGTAATCTACAAAGGATATCATCATTATGACTAATTCAGGTACGCTTTCACATTCAGTTTACAACATGTTTATGAGTATGAGATTATAGTTATGTTTGATAGTTAAAATCAAAATCAAGATCATAACAGTGAATTACTAACAATTGGTATCAGAGCAACTCATACTTGATTCATGTTTATCTTTGAAATTACATTTAACAAAATTCAGATTCTGTTTAATTAAAAATCCTAAGTCGAGAATAATCTCCCATTTTTGTAAACCCTAAATTTAAATTTGGGGGCAAATTCCCAAATTTTAAACCTAGTTTTGAATTTGGGGTAAAACCACCATTATGCTCCGTCACACGAGTTCGTCCGAGTTACATAATCTCCTTGATAATACCTCTGACGATGCTTCACGGGCACGGGCCTCTCCTTGCACACGCTCCACATCGATCACTAAACCACACTTCACTTTTAGGCCCCCACCAATCCAATGTCCCAAAAGCCTTCTGGCGTTCTCATCCACGGATTTGGGCCTACGGTCATATGGCAGTGGCGCCAACAGGTCCAATTCTTAACCCCTCACTTGAACGTTTACGTTTTGGACTTGATTTTCTTCGGAGGGTCCACCACCAAATCGAGCGAGAGGAGCGAAACGTTTTAGGCAGCGTCGGTGGGGAAGCTTCTGGATATATTGAAGGTGGAGAAGTTCCAGGTGGTGGGAACGAGCTATGGAGGCATGGTGGCTTACAATTTGGCCATGGAGGCATGGTGGCTTACAATTTGGCCAAGATGTTGGGGGAAGAGAGGGTTCAGAAAGTGGTCATTGTTAGCTTCGGTGTTAACATGACACTTGGTAACAACACGACGTTGGCATTATGATTGGCCATTTGGCCCATGACTCAACAAGAATTAATTTGCCTTGTTAATTTTAAATAAATAATTATTAAATATTTGGTTTTGTTATATAAATAAAATATTAATTTTTTGGTAGTTTAATATTTTTGTGAACAAATTGAGTCAAAAAGTTACCAAAGTAACATTTCTTGAATTGGGTAGTTCGTTAAAAATATTGAATGTTAGTGTTTGTGTATATTCATACGAGTATTAGTCGCCCAAAGGAAAATTAATATTTGGCCGAATTGCATACACACTTGTAATGATAAACATGTGATAATTATAAGGATTTGTTTCGTCGATGATAAATCAATCCAAAAACTGATTTGTTGTTGGACGTGCTTTATTGTCAATGTTTGATTATTACAACAAGATACCTCTAGCAGTTAATATTACTCGTCCAAAGACTTGATATTGATGGTGCATTGAGTGTCTTGAGATAGGTTAAATTATTATTTGAATATTTATAATTATTTATTTTTTATAATGTGAGTATAATTAATTTATTTCTCTTATTCTTAATTCAACTTACAATTGTTTCTATATCTGTCAATTTAAAATTTTCTTTCGATCCTCAAAAGTATGTTTCCTATTTTGGTCTCGTTCTCGAAGTCAATTTAGCGTCAGTACCTAGTAACACTTGGTGGTTAGACTCAGGTGCAACTACTAACATCAGTGTTTCTATGAAGGGTTGTCTAACCTACCCGAAGCCAATTGATTCTGAAAGATGGATATATGTTGGAGATGGCAAATCGGTAGAGGTGGAAGCTATAGGGAATTTTAAATTGTTATTGAGTACTGGTTTTTATTTGGATTTAAAAGACACTTTTGTTGTGCCGTCATTTAGACGGAATTTAGTTTCAGTTTCTTATTTGGACAAATTAGGTTATATGTGTTCATTTGGAAACAATAAGTTCAATTTGTCTTTTAATTCAGATATTGTTGGAACTGGTTCACTTTTGCCTTATGATAATCTGTATTTATTTGATACTGTGACCACCTATAATGAAACCCTTAATACAGAATCACGGGGTACTAAACGTAAAATTGATGATACTCACTCAGGAGCATTATGGCACAGGCGCTTAGGTCACATCTCTAAAAATAGAGTTGAACGACTTGTGTTAAATGGAATCTTAGAGTCCATTGACTTCACAAACTTTGATGTTTGTGTTGAATGTATTAAGGGCAAACAGACCAGAGCGAAGAGATTAGGTGCATATAGAGTTACAGACGTCTTAGAGTTAATACATACGGACATTTGTGGGTCATTTCCTACACCTTCGTGGAATGGTCAACAATAATTTATATCATTCATAGATTATTACTCACGATATGCATACTTATTTCTTATACATGAAAAATCACAATCTCTGGATGTATTCAAAACATTTAAAGCTGAAATTGAAAATTAACTCAACAAAAGAATTAAGTCTGTCAAGTCTGATCGTGGTGGTGAGTACTATGACAGATATGACGGGTCAGGTGAACAGCGTCTAGGACCATTTGCCAGGGACCTAGAGGAGTGTGGAATTGTCCCACAGTATACCATGTCAGGATCACCTAGTATGAATGGTGTAGCTGAAAGACGAAATCGAACTCTTAAAGATATGGTTAGGAGTATGATTTGTCATTCCACCTTACCGGAGTCACTCTGGGGAGAGGCGCTAAAGACGACAGTTTATATTCTAAACAGAGTACTAACTAAAGCAGCTACCAAAACACCTTATAAGCTTTAGACTGGGCGACAGCCTAGTCTGAAGCATTTCCATGTGTGGGGATGTCCAGCTGAGGCAAGGCCTTATAAGCCAAATGAAAAGAAATTGGACTCTCGAACAGTAAGTAGTTATTTTATTGGTTATGCTGAAAGATCCAGGGGATATAAATTTTATGATCCCACATTAAAGATAATTTTTTAGACGGGAACTGCTACGTTCTTTGAGGATATTGAGTTTGGGGGGAAGAATAAAATCAGGAAATTTATCTTGGAGGAAGAATCGGTAACAATTCCAGAACCGATTCAAACAGTTACTTTTAATAAAATAAGTTCGGAACCTCCACAAGGCATTGTTAATAAACTCCTTACTCAAGATGATTTGGTTGTTCATGAAGAACAAACTCAAGATCCTCAAGAACTTGTGCATCATGAGTCAATAACTTTGCGAAGATCCACTAGAGAAAGAAGAAGTGTTATTTCGGATGATTACATGATATTTCTTCAGGAACATGAGGAAAACAATGGTATGATGGAAGATGACCCAGTTAACTTTCGTCAAGCCATGCAAGGTTCTAACTCTGAAAAGTGGATTGAAGCAATGAAGGAGGAGTATAAGTCCATGCAAGACAACAAAGTTTGGGAACTTGTCCCATTACCAGAAGGTATGAAACCCATTAGTTGCAAGTGGATATTTAAGACCAAACGGGATTCTAAAGGTAATGTGGAAAGGTATAAGGCTCGTCTGGTAGCTAAGGGCTATAACCAAAAGGAAGGGATTGACTTTAAAGAGACTTTATCTCCAGTTTCATCGAAAGACTCTTTTCATGGCTCTTGTAGCACATTATGATTTGGAGCTTCATCAAATGGATGTCAAGACGGCGTTTCTCAATGGCAACATTGGTGAAACGATTTATATGATACAACCATAAAATTTTGTGCAAGGAGATTCGAAGAATATAGTTTGCAAATTGACAAAATCCATTTATGGACTAAAACAAGCACCTCGTCAATGGTATTATAAATTTCATCAAATAATTCTCTCATTTGGCTTCGAGATGAATATTGTTGATGATTGTGTATATCACAAGTTTAAGGGGAGCAAGTATATTTTCATGATCTTGTATGTTGATGACATTTTACTTGCCACTAATGATATATGCATATTGCACGAAACCAAGAAATTTTTATCAAAGAATTTCAAAATGAAAGATCTTGGTGATGCGTCTTTTGTATTAGGAATTCAGATACACCGAGATCGATGTCGGGGTATTTTAGGATTATCACAAAGGAGCTATATCGAAAAAATTCTTAAAAGGTTTGACATGCATGAATGTAAATTCGGAGATACTCCAGTTGCTAAGGGAGACAAGTTTAGTCTCAATCAGTGCCCAAAGGGGAATTTGGAAATTGAGGAAATGCAAAAGATTCCCTATGCATCAGCTGTAGGGAGTTTGATGTATGTCCAAGTATGTACGCGTCCAGACATAGCATACATAGTTGGGGTTCTAGGCAGATATTTAAGCAATCCAGGAATGGACCATTGGAAAGCAGTAAAAAGGGTCATGAGATATTTAAAGAGAACAAAATATTACATGCTCACATACAGGAGGTCAGACCAGTTGGAGATCGCTGGGTTTTCTGACTCAGACTTTGCAGGATGTCAAGATAGTTTGAAATCCACTTCAGGTTATATTTTCATGTTAGCAGGTGGTGCGGTTTCTTGGCGCAGTGTCAAACAAACCCTTACAGCTTCATCCACTATGGCAGCAGAATTTGTAGCATGCTATGAGGCGTCGAATCATGGAATACGACTGAGAAATTTTGTCACAGGGCTGCAAATTGTGAAAGGCATTGAAAGACCCCTTAAGTTATATTGTGACAACAAATCAGCTGTATTGTATTCCAACAGCAACAGAAGTTCGACTAAGTCAAAGCACATCGACATTAAGTTCCTAGTTGTTAAGGAAAGAGTACAGAGTGGATAGATTTTCATAGAACATTTAGGGACAAACTCCATGATAGCAGATCCTCTAACTAAAGGACTTCCGTCCAAGGTCTTTCATGAGCATGTTGCTCACATGGGTGTTTTACAGTTTGAGGAATTTGTGATTTAGTGGAAGTTAATCATTTTCATATATTTTATGTTCTATGTTTAATTTCATGTATGTATACAGTGATTTTTTGGACATATTTGGTTATCTATAGATATGCGGTTTTTCGTTCATTCATTACACTTTGTACATTGAGGTTATTATATCGATCTCGATAAGTTAAAGTTTGGACCAGTTGAAAATAGACGTGTACAGATCACCTTCACATAATTTTTCATGCTACACATTTCATGATGAATCCATGTCATTTGGTTATGTCAGGATTAGTAATCATTGTTGGTTTTAATTGTGATGATGCAATGAAAAGTTGGTTGGATTCTATATCGTGATATGATCAATGAACAGGACTTTTGGAATATGCTAAAGGAATATAATGGCAATTTTGAGCTCATAAAGTCTAACATATTTGTAAGGTTGTAAGGACATATATATTTGTGACCAGTGGGAGATTGTTGACAAATTTTGGATCATGTATATATATGATACATAATTTAAATGTGCTAGAGCCATTATTTATTAAGTCAAATAATAAAGTGATCTAACTAAATTAAAGTTTTGACTAAAGTCATATGTCATGAAAATAAAATTGTGTAGAGACCATAGAGTAATTTCTAATTTAATGAGGGGCCAAATTGGAAATACTAAAACTTAAGTAATTAACCTAATTCTAGTTATTTAAAGGGTCATGGTCCCCTTCTAGGAGCACACACATAGAACGTAAGTTTCAGTCCCGTTCTTTTCTTTCTATCTCCATCAAGAGAGAAAATCCAGAGAGAAAATACAGGTGCTCTCCAGTTGGAAGACCATAAGATCAATAGTGTTCTAAAATGATATCATCATTATGACTAATTCATGTACATTTTTGCATTCAGTTTACAACATGTTTCGCATTAAGTTTAGCACGTGTTTATGAGAATGGGATTATATTTAAGTACAATAGTTAAAATAAAAATCAAGATCGTAACAGTGAATTACTAACACAACGTGCATAAGCCCCCACACTGCTCACAGCCAGCCACCGCGAACCCAGCCGCAACCTCCACCACCTTCACTTCTCCTCATTCCCATTTCAACCTCACTAGAACCTGCCATCCAAGACCGCTTCTCCCCTCATTTCCTCTGGCCGCCGCGCGCGTAGCCACCTCCATCGAACCATCGCGCACCACCAGCCCCTAAACCACCCTCACTACAGCCCATTACGCGTGCCACCCAAGACCCACCGCGATTTTGTCGCGACCTCCTTCCCTAGGTCGATTCTCCACCGCGAGCCACTACTGGCCGAGTCACTTCCCAGCCTCAATAACGCTTTTCCACCTTCACCAGTAGCTCCCTCTCCTAAACCACCGCGAATTGCACCGCCAGCGGCCACCACGAGCTTCATCGCAAATCCCCGTGCTTCCTGTGAACACTGCACCCCAACGCTGCGTCGACCAACCAAACACCAATCTCTTTCATTCTTCTCCTTGTTTCGGTTTCCCTTCACTTGATGATTCTCATTTGGTCCTGGAGTTTTCTATCCAATCGCATTAAATTGGTTTTCTTTTGATTGGATTTTATGTTTTGCTTGATTGATGATGTTGGGTCTGACTTTGTTGGTTTGGATTAATGGGTTTGAGAGCTTCAATAGGGTCATGTTTGTTCTCTGGTCAGGGTTGGTTTGATTTGAGTTCAGGGGGTACATGTTGGGCGTCATGTTTCCCTGGTAAAGGTTGAATTGATCTGAGTTCAAGACGTAGATGTTAGGTGCGGGGTTATTACCATATGAATAAGTTTTGATTTTGGTTCGGCTCGGGTGTGGGTTGAGTGTCGAGTCTAAATGGGGATATTTCGATTTTGGATCATGGTTTTCCGGGTCTGAGTAAGAGTGTTTTGTTCTGATATGATTTTGTCTGGTTGTAGGGTAGAGCTTATGCATTGTCGTCCTTTTCTTCTTCCTCTGTTTCTCATGGGGTATTGTTTGATGTAAATAGTATTTGTTGAGGTTGGTTTGTGGTTTCTTTTGCTGTAGGATTGCGTTAACGTAACTGTGCTATTTGGATGACAAATTTGTTTAACTAAATTGTTTGGAAGAATGTTTAACTATATCCTGTAACTTTCTGAGGAATATTGAAAGTATGTGTTTGTGATTTAGTTGTTATTGACTTATCCGATTGCGATTTAACGGTTGTCTATGCGATTCTGATTTAGTCGTTGTCAGCATATGCGATTCTGATTTAGTCATTGTCTGGCATACGCTTTGCCTTAGCTAGGCATGGCAACGGGGACGAAGGCAAATTTTGCCTCTCCATTCCTATTTCCCGACTCTCTCTTTCTTTCTTCTTCTCTCTCTCTCTTTTTTTTTTTTTATTATTATTATTTTTTTTTTTTACTTTTTTTTTGTCTGTCTCTTTTTTTTAATTAAGTTTTTTTTTCTATGTTCATATTGGATCTAATTTTGAATTATATTATTTTAAAAAAGATAATTATTTTTATAATAAATTAATTTCATTATTTTTATATATAAATAAATATTTATAATTTATAATTATTATTAATTAAATATATATTTTAATTTATTATATTTATATTAAAAAAATATATATAAAAATATTTAATTATTTTTATTTATATATATATATAAAATATTTATAATAATAATAATACTTTTATTATAACATTCTATTCAAACAAATGAATATTTATAAAATTATTATTATACTTATTATTATAATACTATATTTAAATATTTAATTATATATATATATATATAAAAGTTAATTCATTTTTAAATTATAGATTTCAAAATATATAATTTATAAGAAAATATTTAATAAGTTAATTTTTATTTAATTAATTTAAAATAATAAAAATTTAAATTATTAATTTTTTTAATTTTTTAAAATATAATTATTTTATTAAGATAAAATTTAATATAATGCAAATAAGAATTATAAGATTAAAAAAAATATGATATAATAAAATCTAATAAATATAAATTATAAATAAAATCATATTAGTTACTATTTAGATTTATGTAAATTATTTAGAAAAAATATAGAAAAAAATAATAATTTTATGTTTATTAAATTGGTTGAAAATTATGAAAAAGAAAAAGAAAAAAATAAATTGATTGGAGAAATTAAGGAAATGTGAAAAATTGAAAAAGAATAATATAATAAATTAATTTATATAAAAGATTAAAAGAAATTAAAAAGTGGGTAGAAGAAAAGTAAAAATAGTTAAATATAAAAAAAATGACATTATACGTAATGAGAAAAAGAAAAGAAAATATTTTTAAAATATTAATATTTTAAATTTAAATATAAAGTTGAGATGGGGTGGGGATTGTATTATCCATTCCTACCCCCAACTTTTTAAAGCTGGAAAAAATCGAATTCACTCTCCCCTCGTTTAACTCGGTTTTTTCCCGTCAAACTTGGGGAGGGGACAGAAAGTTCTCACGAGTACGAGTTTAATTATCATTTTTAGATAGTTTTTTCCTGTCAAACTCGGGGACGAACGGTCCTCACGTGTACGAATTTAATTGTCATTCCTAGGCTTATATTTAGGTTGTTGATCCTTATGAAATACTTATGGTTATAAATACTCGCATCTCTAAACCCTAGTGTTTATTTTTAATATTTATTTTTAAACTAAATTCTTTAGACATGGGTATAGTCGCATGTGTCTTATTTTAAAAAATAAATTTTGAGGTACTGGTACGATCATTAGTGTTGTCATGTCTTTTGCTTTTAAAATATACTTTTTTTTTAAAATAAATTTTGAGGTATGATCGTTTGTATTATCATGTCTTCTCCAAAATAAATTTTGAGGTACAATTGCTTTTAAAATATACTTTTTTTTAAAATAAATTTTGAGGTATGATCGTTTGTATTATCATGTCTTCTCCAAAATAAATTTTGAGGTACAAGTACAGTCGCTTATGTCATCATGTCCTCTCCTTTTAAATAAACTTTGATGTATGAATACGATTGCCCATGTTATCATGTTTTCTCTCTTTTAAATGAATATAATTTTGAGGTATCGGTAGCGTTTGTATCATTATGTCTTCTATTTTAAATAAATCTTTGAAACACAGCTATGGTTGCACATGTCATCAAAGCAACAAAAACAATAAAAATATAGTTTTTGTCAAAATCTAGAAAAATACAAAAATCTTTCAAAAATGCCAAAATATTTCAAAACCTTAATAAATATACAATGTTTTTTTACAAAGAACTACGTAATCCCGATTTCTCTAGTTTTTTTTTATTTTGAATGAAAATACATACGAGTAAAGTCAATTCTAATCGGGTTCCAAAAAATTAAAAAATATTTTTGTCTATTCTTTTTTTTCTCTTTTTCTTTCTTTGTTTTTTATTTTAAATAAATATTTTTAAAATGGCATTCAATTTTGCACATTTAACTAAGTGCAACCATTTTAGGACTTGTACGTAGCATGCTCGATATTTTTTCTACACTCGTAATCGATTTTCGAACCCAAATTTGATTTTTATAGATCTTACCTTATCTTTACGCTTTTCATGGTTTTCTCGAATAAATTATGGTAACGATTCCAAAACTTTTATTTTTAAATCTTAAAATTTGGTTTATCGTCTCGTCACAATTTTTGGTTGCGACGTTGAGAAAGACAATTTATTTTGTAAATATTTATATAAATACTCATTTCAATCTAGTATTTAGAATCAATTTTCAGTATTTTTTCAATGTTTAAAATCAATTCTCAACATTAAAATAAATTCTTCAATGTTGAGAATTGATTCTATTAGAAAAATCAAAATGACTAAACACACTCAAGGGGGTGAAGTAGATTTGTAAAAGCTTTTTGAAAATCTAATAATTAACTAAATCTTTTTTGAATAATCAAATTGAAAAAGATTTTAGAATGTGTTGAAGTTTCAAGAACAATAACATAAAGAAGAAAAAGACAAAAACACATAGATTTTATACGGTTCGATTTCACATAATCTATATCTAATTATTCAAGCAACCTTAGCTTGAATTTTCACTATCATCTTTTCAATATCCATTCTACAAAACAAAATGTAGATCTTAAAATACAAACACCTTAACAAGATCTAATAATAACCACAAAATATTCTCATAATTTTAAAGCAAATGTTTACCTCACAAGTCATCAAGATACAACAAATATTACAAATTTACAAAATAAGAACAAATTACCTTAACTTTAAATTGCTAAATACGCAAAATTCTATAGTCAAATGACTTATCCATTAAATGCAATATTTTCACAATGATTCACATTTTCAAACGTTACTTTGATCCCTATTACTCATTTATTTTTTAATGCCTTTATCGTTTTTCAATTCATATTTTATTTTTGCAAGTTTTCTTCTTTTTAAAGAGATAAAAACAATTACAATTAATTCGGAGAATCGATTAACAAAAATCTAATTGATTATTTACATGCACTAACAAAAAGAAAATATAACAATATAATCAGTTAACTACTAACATAATTAATTATTTCAAAACATGAAACATGATCAAATAATCATTAAGTGTTAATATAATCAATTAAAAACGCATAATTTCAAAATATGGATTATAATCATATAATCGATCAAGTATTAATATAATTGATTATTAACACATAATAATTTGATTACTTAAGTTTAAACATAATTAAATAAATTATTTATCTTTTTTATTAAAATTGATTTAATCATTTAGCTTTTATATCATTTACACACCAATTATCTCGTCATGAAAAATAATAGTTCTTTCATTTTCATCAAATCATTAATATATTCTTCTATTTTTATGAAAAAATTTAATTGGTCCAAAATAAGACTGTTGATTCTCAAATTCTTATAGAGAAAATGATGATATCCATTAATAAAATTTTTTTTCATATAACTCTTTGAAAATTCAAAAAATACACATTTAAAAATTTGAAACAAATTAATATATATATATATATATATATATATATATATATATAGTTGACTCCTCTCTTATTACACAATCCAAGCCGCCGAATTTAATAATAAAAACTATCTGCATAAAAATAGTTGTGAGTAAGGTTTGAATTTATAGTGAATAAATTGGTTATCTGTATATCTTATATCTTTTCCAGATAGTAACAATTCGTAAATAAATTAAATTTATACTTTATTTTATAGTTTTTTATTTTAATAATATCACTTTTAAATTATATTTATTTAATAAAATCTCAAATATTCCGTTTTGTTGTACCAAAATGCAAGGCACATAAATTGTTGCAACTTTACAATTAATTGACTACATTAATAAAGTGCGTCTGTATCTTAAATTTTTTATTGGATTAGATTTTCAAAATTTAATCTGATTATTATATATATTTTTGTTAACCTATATATAAGTACGTATGTATCTGACACAAAAGCACGTGAAGAAGGTTGAGAAAAAAACCAACCTGAGCCAAATCCACCCTCTCAAGTCACTGTCACCACTCTCTGTTATTTCTTACTTCTTGCAGAATGTATATGGCGGAGAAGGACGGGATCATGCTCTTTGGCGTGCGCCTTACCGTAGCCGATAGAATCCCCACCCCACCGCCGCGCCATCCCAATGCGGGCTACGTCCACGACGTCGTTCATCCCTCCCGTCGCAAGCGCAAACGAGGTAATCTATCAATGACTTGATTAATTCATATTTTCTGTTGAGGTGTTTGTGAATATCAATGAATTGATTAATTCATATTGAGTTTGTGAATAAAAATGGTTGTGTTTGGATTACGAATAAATTAGGGGTTCCGTGGACGGAGGAGGAGCACAGGCGGTTCCTGTTGGGATTACAGAAAGTTGGCAAAGGAGATTGGAGAGGAATTTCTAGAAACTTCGTCAAGACTCGAACGTCCATTCAGATCGCTAGTCACGCTCAAAAATATTTTCTCCGCCGTCATACTCACAATCGCCGAAGCCGGAGATCTAGTCTCTTCGATATCACCACGGAATCGGTATCCCTTTAATCACTCATTCTATTCTTAATTTAACTTTTATTGATTCCTTTTTTTTTTTTTGATAGTTGAAGCAATGTAGGTGAAGGAAGAGGAACAAGTGTTCCCGTCAACTAGGTTGAAACCGGTACCTTCGTCTTTGAAGATGACTGAGTTGAACTTAAGTGGGAAGTCGCTGCCGCTGAAGATGCCGGCGTCGACGGAGCCATCGCGAGAGACTTTTGAGGTGGGAAGTTGAGGGGTGGTAACGGGAGTATGATTCCCGTTACTGGAGCTTGAGGATGAGATGGTGTTGATTATTAAGTTTTTGTATGTAAAGTTTAATATTTAATTAGAAATTACAGTATATTAATTTTTTTTATATAAAGTTTAATATTTATTTTAAAAACATAAATTAATTAAATGGAGTATTTAAAATTAATGTATATATAGTAAATAAAAATGGATTAATCATACAGAAAATATATTTAAATAAAATATTTATTAATTTAATAATAGTATATAATTATTATTTGTTATTTTTTTTTATTTTTTTATTTTTTTATTTTTTTTTTCATATTATTTTAATTAAAATATTAAATTTAAATTTTAAAAAAATATATTAAAATAAAATTTATAAAATTATCATTAAAATTAAAATAATATTAATTATTTAAAATCACATTAATAATAAATAAATAATTTAAAAATATTTTATTATAATAAACCAATTACTTATTAAATTATAAAAATATTAAATATTTATTAATTAATAGTCTTTGTGGACTTTTGAGGCCTAAAATGAGAATTTGTGAAATAATATTGAGAGAGTATAATTCGTGTTAGTTGAATAGAATAAGATTAGATGATCTTGATTATTAATTTTAGATAATGAATAAAGTAAGATGAAATACTCTTGATTAATTTTTTGTATGTAAAGTTTATATTTACCTAATTAATATGATAAAACTTACAAAAAAGCGTTAACAATAAATTAATTAAATGGATCATTTAAAATTTACAAACATATAATAAACGAAAATAGACTAACCAAGAGAGAAAATTTATTCAAATAAAATATTTATTAATTTAATAATAATAATATATAATTATTATTTGTTATTTTTTTTATTTTTCATATTATTTTTAATTAAAATATTAAACTTAAATTTAATAAAAATATATTAAAATAAATTTTATAAAATTATCATTAAAATTAAAATAATATTAATTATTTAGAATTACATTAATAATAAACAATTAGTTTAAAGATATTTTATTATAATAAACCAATTACTTATTAAATTAAAAAAATATTTAATATTTATTTGTTAGCCATCACGAACGATTTATTGAGGAGTCAAGTGCGAATTTAAAGGATGGTGTCAAGAGAGGCTGATTCGTATTACTTGAATAAAACACTATGAGATGGTCTTTTATTAATTTTGTGTATGTAAAGTTTAATATTTAAACCCATCATTTAAAATTTTATGCGCATATAATGAAGGATGAATACAGCTAGATGATACGATCTTGGTTATTAATTTTTTTATGAAGAGTTTAATATTTATCTAGAAAGTATAGAGATAAAACTTAGTAATAGTATTAACGGTAAATTATTTAAACCAATAATTTAAATTTTATGTGAAAAATAGAATAATTAAAAGAAAAATTTATTCAAATAAAATATCTATTGATTTAATAATAATATATAATTATTATTTGTTTTTTTAATTTATCTTTTTATTGTTTTTTCATATTATTTTTAATTAAAAAAATAAATTTAAATTTAACAAAAATATATTAAAATAAAATTTATAAAATTATCGTTAAAATTAAAATTATATTAATAATAAACATTTATTAGTTAGTCATCACCAACTATTTTTGAGGTTTCTAGTGAGAATTTGATTAATGGTGTCAATGGAGCATGATTCGTATTATTTAAATAGAGCGAGATGAGAGGGTGTTAATTATTAATTTGTTGTACGTAAAGTTTAATATTTACCTATAAAATATAGTGATTCAAATTAAAAAGAGGGTTAACGATAAATTAATTAAACCCATCCTTTAAAATTTATGTGCATGTAATAAAGGAATATAGAATAACTAAAAGAGAAAAGTTATTCAAATAAAATATGTATTAATTTAATAATAATATATAATTATTATTTGTTATTTTTTATTTATCTTTTTATTTTATTTTTTCATATTATTTTTAATTAAAATATTAAATTTAAATTTAATAAAAATATATTAAAATAAAACTTATAAATTTATTATTAAAATTAAAATAATATTAATTATTTAAAATTACACTAGTAATAAATAATTAGTTTAAATATATTTTATTATAATAAACCAATTACTTATTAAATTAAAAAAATATTAAATATTTATTAGGTGTTAAGACCTTTAATGGGAATTTGAGGGGTGGTGTCCGGGTAGCATGTTTGAATAGAGTGAGATGAAATGGTTTTGATTATTAATTTTTCGTATATAGAGTTTAATATTTACCTAAAATGTAGAGTGATGAAATTTCGAAAGAAGGTTAACGATAAATTAATTAAACCGATCATTTAAAATTTATGTGCATATAATAAAGAAAAATAGAATAACCAAAATAGAAAAGCTATTCAAAACAAAATATCTGTTAATTTAATAATAATACAAAATTATTATTTGTTATTTGTTATTTATCTTTTTATTGTTTTTTTTCATATTATTTTTAATTAAAATATTAAATATTAAATTTAATAAAAATATTTTAAAATAAAATCTATAAAATCATTTTTAAAATTAAAATACTATTAATTATTTAACATTATATTAATAATAAATAATTAGTTTAAAGATATTTTATTATAATAAATCAATTATTTATTAAATTAAAAAATATTAAATATTTATTAGTTAGCCATTATCAACTACTTTTAAGGCGTCTAACGAAAATTTGAGGGGTGGTATCGAGAGAATATGATTCGTGTTACTCATAAAATGAGATGAGATTGTCTTAATTATTAATTTTTTGTATGCAAAATTTATTATTTAAACCGATCATTTAAAATTTATGCGTATGTAATAAAGGGTGAATAGAGCAAGATGAGATGGTATTGATTATTAATTTTTTGTAGGTAAAGTTTATTATTTACCTAGAAAGTAAGTATAGTGATGAAACTTAAAAATAGGGTTAATGATAAATTAATTAAACCGATCATTTAAAATTTATGCACTTATAGTAAAGAAAAGTAGAATAACTAAAAGAGAAAAACTATTCAAATAAAATATCTATTAATTTAATAATAATATATAATTATTATTTTTTATTTATCTTTTTATTGTTTTTTTTCATATTATTGTTAAATAAAACATTAAATTTAAATTTAAATTTAATAAAAATTTATAAAATAAAATTTATAAAATTATGATTAAAATTAAAATAATATTAATTATTTACAATTATATTAATAACAAATAATTAATTTAAAGATATTTTATTATAATAAACCAAATACTTTTTAAATTAAAAAATATTAAATATTTTTTTAGTTAGGCATCGCTAGCGACTTTTGAGATTTCTAATGGGAATTTGAGTGGTAGTGTCAGAAGAGCATTATTCGTGTTACTTGAATGGAGCGAGATGAGATGGTGATGAGTCCTTAGTTGTCTTGGAGGCGGGAGATGTCATCCTTAGAAAGATTACTAGGATGACTAGAAGGGAGACTTCCTCCCCACTTTCTATTTTAAATTTACTTAGTATTTTTTAAGTTTTTTGTTTTCCTTTTGTATGCTCACTTTTTGCACCTCCTATTTAAAGAATACCACATTTTTTTTGGTGGAAAAGAAACCTTGGATCCATAGGATACATGCATGGGTAAACCAAAGATATAGGATATATTTTTTTCATGTCCTACACCCCTTTTTAGAGAAGAAGAAGCTTAGGATGCGAGATTAGTAGGTTTGGAACAACTCAAAAGGAAGCACACCTGTGTTTTCATATTCTCCACATCCTTAAAGACATTTTTGGTGGGCTAGGAAGAATGTAACATATTTTGGTCATAGAGACTCTTAGCCTTTAGGTTTAGGTTAAGTTTATGTCTCCTTTTGTAATTTCATCTAGGTCCCTCCCCAAAAGCCTATAAATAGAAGACTTCCCCTCTTGTAATTAGGTTGAACATTTTATAACAAGTTTGTGAGGTTTCTTAAAGTGTTTCATCTCTTTGAGTGTCTTATCTTTAACCTTGGTTCAAGTGGCTACAACCACCACTTATCTAGGGTGGCTCATCCCTTACTGCCATACCAACACTCCACCATCACTATACTTTTTTTATCTTCATCTTTATTTTTTCACTTTATTTATTTATTGTTAGAGATCAACACTATCAATTAGAATAATTCAATTATGATAGAATTTAATGATAATATAATCAGTTGTATTTCGTTATTTATGCACAACAATATTTATAGGGAGAATATTTTCTTGATTTTCAGGGATAAATTAGTGTATAGCTTTATTACATTGTATTCTATTTATATTTCCTTTGTATCTTTTCCAAAATAAGAAATAGACAACATATTTTTTGCATGGTATCAGAGCTCAATCTGGACCATTCCGAACCTAGCGTAGCCAACCATGGAAGAGAACAATGCATGACGTTCACCCACCAATCTGGTCGAAGGACCTGCTCTTCCTATCACTGGTCACAAATTGAATGACCAAAATTACCCTCAATGGGTGCACTTAGTTAAAATCTTCCTTCAAGGAAAAGGGAAAGAATGTTACATCACCAGAGACTCCAAGTGTCCAATAGAGGGAATGCAGTGAAGGAAACCTACTCAAATATAGATAATACATCTGTGGTATTTGAGATCAAGAATATACTCCATGAACTGCGACAATGTGATTTCTCAGTCACTGAGTAGTTTAATAGACTCAACCGACATTAGTAACAACAAGACATATATGAAGACGTTCAATGGAGATGTATCGAGGATAAGAATAAGTATAAAGAATTGGTAGAGAAAGATATGATCTACAAGTTCTTATTGGGGCTGAACATAGAACTTGATGAAGTTCGAGGGAGAATCCTTATAACCAAACCTCTTAAAACAATTCGGGAAGCATTATCAGAAGTGAGAAAGGAGAAAAGTAGGTGGAAAGTAATGCTTAGAAAGTCAAGTGTAGTCCCACCCATTGAAGGCGCAACAATGGCAGCAAGGGGGAACCAATATCTTCCATTTAAAAAGAAAAATCGACTC